TTCATATACACCGAATCAATTTGTAGTTTCATCAGGGAACCGTTCCAGCTGAGAATGTACGGTAATTCAAGCGTGTGGGAACTGCTCTCAATACTAAAATCTTCTCTCGTCAGTTATTATTGGGATGATAATGTTTTCTTCTTTTTTTCTTCTTCTTTCTTTTCGGTTTTTAATCCCTTTTCTTCTTTTTACTTAGCATTTTGTTGATTTTCTCACTTCCTTCGTGTCATATTCCTAAAATGGTTAGAAATCTTAGTTGCAAAACCATATAACTCGTCCCTTATCTCAGCTCGGAATCTCTCAATTCATTGCAACATAAAGCTCAGGCCGCATAACGTTTATTGCATTCAGAAACTGCTCTTGCAATTTCACCTTGCAACATGTCGATTCTGATAACATCTCTTATCTAATGCTGAATATTGATTCGTTTGTGTACGTGTTGACACAGCGTTATTTTTCCTTTATGCTTATCATTATTTTCATTGTTGTAGTAGTTGTTATTATTATTATTATCATTTATTATTATTATTATTATTATTATTATTATTATTATTATTATCATTATCATTATTATGATTATATTTTCATTGTTATGATGATTGTTATTATAATTATTTATCATTACTATTATTATTATTATTATTATTATTATTATTACTATTACTGTTATTACTATTACTATTATTATTATTATTATTCATTATTATTACTATTATTATCATTATCATTTCTGTTATTATTACTATTATTTATCGATACATTGTTATTATCTATAATATTACTATCATTTTTGTCATCATTATTATTATTGTTATTATTATTCTTCACAATTTCATTGTTATCATCATTACTACTATTATTATTATTATTATCTTTATTGTTTTATCATTATTATTACTACTAGTATTATTAATATAATTATTATTACTATTATCATAATAATAATAATTGTTATTATTATTATTAGCATTATTATTATTATTACTATTATTGTTATTATTATTATTGTCATTATGATTATTATTGATTATTATTATTATTATTATTATTATCATTATTATTATTATTATTATTATTATTATTATTATTTTTATTATTAGCATTATTATTCTCGTTATTGTTATCAATATCATTATTATCATCATTATTAGTTTTAATATTAACATCAGGATAATTGTAATGATTTTTATAAACCATTATCATTATTATTATTATTATTATCATTAATATTATTCTTGTTAATACTTTATTATCCTTATTTTTAGTTATTATTATTAATGTTATCATCATCATCATTATTATTATTATTATTATTATTATTATTATTATAAATATTACTCTCCTTGTCATTATAATTTATCTTTTAATTGTTATTACCGCTACTACTATTATTATTACTGTTATTATTGTAGTTTTGTTATTATCATTGCTATTATTATCATTATTATTATTATTATCATTACTACAACTATTACTATTATCATTTTTGTTTTATTAGCAGTATTATCATCAATATCATTATTATCAGCATTAGTATTATGATAGTACCTATCATTATTTTCACTATAATCATTATTGTTATTTTGTTATTATCGTCGTAAACATGCACACCATTATAATCATATCTGTTATTATTATCATCACTTTACTTTTCTTTTCACAACGTGATTACTACACACTGATTATCTGATAGAAGAAAATAAGAAAAGTGTATTGGTAATATCTTTTTCACATCTAAAAATATATGTTACTATAATGGGATCTTTCATCATCAATATATCTCAAAGACTTACTATCCCTTTATACAATGTTCACTGTGATAAATTTTAACGATAAAACACTGTCGCACAGATAACATCACTGAAGCATATGACGACAAAAGACTTAGAAGTGTCGAGTATGTAACATACGAAGATATGGAGGTTTAGGAGGAAGTGGAGGGGAGAGAGAGAGAGAGAGAGAGAGAGAGAGAGAGAGAGAGAGAGAGAGAGAGAGAGAGAGAGAGAGAGAGAGAGAATGTGTATGTGTGGTGTGTGTGTGTATGTGTGTGTGTGTGTGTGTGTGTATGAGGGAGAGAGAGAGAGAGAGAGAGAGAGAGAGAGAGAGAGAGAGAGAGAGAGAGAGAGAGAGAGAGAGGAAGAGGGGGGAGTATAAGAAAAAGAAGAAATATGCGGAGACCGAGAGAAAGGAGGGAGAGAAGGAAGAGGAGGCCTAAGGAAGAGGAAAAGAGAAGAAAGAGGAGAAAAGGAGGAGGAGGAGGAGGAAGAGGAAGAGGAAAGGAAAGATGATGGAAAAAAGGATAAAAAAGGGTGGGGAAAAATAGGATACGAGGAGCAAAAAAAAAAAAAAAAAAAAAAAGGATATTAGAACGAGGCGGGAAAGGATTCTTCCTCGTTAGAGTTTTAAGAGAACCTTGAAGAAAATTCAGCAAGATTAAAAACACACAGAAAAATAATAATAGAAAAGAAGAAAAAAGACAAAATACATAAAAGAATGAAGAGAGAAAAAAAAAAAAAACAGAAAAAAGAGACGGGAAGTAAATGAAATGTGGATATCTCACCGTAGAGTTTTATGAGACCCTCCGTTTCGCCACGTGAATTCTTGGCGACGCACTTGTAAGAGCCAAAATCTTCTGCCTTCAAACTCCTTATGGTGAGCTTCATATGCGTGCAGTATGACACCTTCCCGAACTAGGAGATGGAAAACACTATTAAGTATAAGGAAATGAAAGAATGTAGAAAGAATATATGTTAACGCCATAGTGTGACAATTATAACAAAAATAAAGATAGAAGTTAAAATGACAGTTACGATGATAATGATGATAAAAGTGGAAATTAAATCAGCAGTAATAGTTATGGTAATGATAAAGATAGTAATACCAACAACTTAATAAGAAAAATAACACTAATAGCATCAATGTTGATAATGATAATAACGATAATGATGATGATACTGATGATATTAATAAAATGATAATAAAAGCAATGATTATAAACGAAATAATGGTAATTATGGTAATACTACTATTACTGCTAACAATAACATCAGTAATATTATTAGTAATAATATCAATAATAATCGAAAATATAAATGTTCATACAATTAATGACATTATTAGTAATAATAAAAATAACAGTAACAATATAAGAACGATATTGATAAACTGACAGCAATAATGATGATTATGATAATAATGAAAGTAAGATAATGATAATGACAATAATAATGATAATGGCGATAATAATGATAATGATAATAAAAGTAATAATAAAAATAATGATGATAATCATAATCATAATAATAATGATGATGATAATAACACTGATAACAATAATATCGATAATAATTAGAACGAATGTTACAGTTATGATGATAGATGATAATAATGATGATATAGTAATGATAATGATAATGATAATAATGACATTGATTATGAAACTACTACTACTAATGATAATAATAACCACAATAATAATAGTACTACTACTAATGAAAATAATAGTAAAGATGATAATAATGAAATTGTAAATAATAATAATAACAATAATAATAATGATAACATAAATGATAGTAATATTATGGATAATAACAATGTATCGATAAATAATACCAATAATAACAGAAATGATAATAATAATAATAGTAAAATTAATGAAAAATACTGATATTTTCATAATCATAATGATGATAGTGATAATGATAATAATAATAATAATAATAATAATAATAATAATAATAATGATAATAATAGTAATAGTAATAACAGTAATAAAATAATAATAATAATAATAATAATAAATAGTTATAATAACAATCACCATAATGAAAATATAATCATAATAATGATAGTGATAATAATAATAATAATATTAATATTAATAATGATAATAATAATGATAACAATAATAATAATAATAATAATAATTATAATAATAATAACAAAAAAACTAAAACAATAATAATAATATAATGATAATGAAAATAATAATACTCATGATACTAATAATGATAATGACAATTATGATAATGAAACTAAAAAAATGATAACAGCAACAATAACAGTAGTAGTAATAATAACAATAGCAATAATAATAGTAACAGTAATGATAGCAATAACGATAATGATAAGGGTAATGATAGTAGTTGTAGCAATAATACTAATAATAATAACAATGATAACAATAACAATGATGATGATAATAATAATACTAATCATGATAATAATAATAATAATAATAGTAATAATAATAATAATAAGAATGATAAACATAATAGTAATGATAAAGGAATAATAACTTTTATAATACAAAATAATAACAATTGTATTAACAACGTAATAACAACAATGTTAGTAACAATGATATTGATCATAATAGTAATAATGATAATAATAATGGTAATAGCAAAAATAATAATACTAATGATAATAATAATGATAATGATAAGTATGATAAAAATGAATAAATAAAAAAAACAAATAATAATATTAACAATAATGATGACAATAATAATAACAATAATGATGACAATAATAATATCAATAATGATGCTGTTGCTACAAGAAATTATAATAATGATGATACTGACAATAATAATAATAACAATAATATGACACGTGATATTGGTAATGATGATAATAGTAATAATATTGAAAATGATAAAAATAATGATGAAATCATTGCTAATGATATATCTTCATATAAATACGAATTGAAATGAATATCTATGTATAAACGCATGCGCGCGCACACACACACACACACACACACACACACACACACACACACACACACACACACACACACACACACACACACACACACACACACACACACACACACACAAACACAACCACATACTGCACATAGAACTCACCCTCTCTTCGATGCTGTACTTGCGACTAGGGTGAAGCATGACATCCTGACCCCTCGTCCAGTAGGTGAGGGCGGGGGGGTGAGCCTCGATAGTGCATTCGAGGGTGATGCTGTAACCCAAGGGGGCGCCTACAAGCTGGTGCGGGATACTCATCATGGGTGGAACTGTAGGTGGAATGCAATCGTGTAAGCGTGGGGGAAGGAAGGGGTGTTATGCTCTTAAATACACTGAATGAACCGTATGTGAACCGTATAACGTCATCTATCGTTCGTTGTTTATTTTATACAACTAAACCCAGATAAGCAAGGGAAAAATCAAACAGACCAACGAATACAAAAGTAGAAAAGCCAATTTGTCCCTAATCCGAAAAAAAAGAAACAGACACACACAAACCGAAAAAAAGAAGTAAGGAATTGGGTCTTGTGCTGAGATCATAAGTCATAACGTGGGGATGAGGTATTAACTTTATCCTAGAGTTTATTCCTTCGCTGTCAGGCCCACCTCGAGCAAGAGGGAAGGGGAGAAATATGAAAAGAGACAAGGGGGAAAGTGGGAGGGAGAGAGAGAGAGAGAGAGAGAGAGACAGAGACAGACAGAAAGATATATATATATATATATATATATATATATATATATATATATATATATATATATATATATATATATATATATATATATATATATATATATATATAGAGAGAGAGAGAGAGAGAGAGAGAGAGAGAGAGAGAGAGAGAGAGAAAGAGAGAGAGATTGATTGACAGATAGATAGAGAGAGAGATATGCCAGCTTCGGAGAACTAAGACCTAAAGTGGAATTCAATTAACGAAGATAGAGAAAGGAAAGATAATTCTAAGTAAGAAAACGAAGAAATTTCACATATGGCACTAACACAAAGACGACCGGATTTCATAACTGCGTAGTTCGAAGATGATTGGAAAGCCATACAATTAATCAGAACGTAAAAGCTTTAATTGCCAACCGAAAAAAAAAATGGTTATAAGAGGAAATAAAAAAGGAAGAAAGATAAAATAAATCAATAAATAGAAAAAATGAATTAGATAAAATGCATGTAAACGAGAACAGCAGAAGTCATGTGTAGGGTTAGGATAGATCTTCCATTACGCTGATGATCTCTCTTGTCTTGAATTATTGGCCATAAAATTGCTACATCAAGGAGAGACTTTGAATTGTAGTTCTCTCTCTCTCCTTCTCTCCCTCTTTCTTCTCATGTCTCTCTCTTTCTCGTTTTTCCTCTCTCTGCTTCTCTTTCTTTCTCTCTTTCTGTTTTTTTTTTTCTTCTTTTCTCTCTTTCTCGTTTTTTCTTTCTATTCCTTTCTCTCTCTCTTTCGTTCACTCTCTTTCTCCCTCTCTCTCTTTTTATCTTTCTGTCCCTCTCCTGCTCTCTCTCTCTCTCTTTCTTTATCTTTCTCTCCCTCTCCGGCTCTCTCTCTCTCTCTTTCTCTCTCTCTCTCTCTCTCTCTCTCTCTCTCTCTCTCTCTCTCCTCCTCCTCCTCCCCCCACCCCCTCTCTCTCTCCCAGTCTTTTTTTTTTTTTTTCTCTCCTTTTTATGGCTTTTTCGTTTGCTTTGAGATTCCAGTTAGAGATTGGGAATGGCTCTCTGTCTCTGCCATTTGATAGATTTGTTTATTTCCTCGAAATGGCATGACCTGCGGGGTCATCACACACAAACATACACACACGCCCACACACACATACACTCCTAATCACACATACATAAAATAAGCACACATATCTTAAAAGACACCAACTACCTACCTACTAATCCATTTGTTTACTGTTAATGGTAACTATTTATCTATTTCCCTCTATTTTCATATACCGACAAAGAATTAACGAATAGTTACGAAACTACGTCCCATTGCAACCCTAAAACATAGACAACCAAGACACTTCCTTAGGCCTTTGATTTCTTAATATCTTATTAGAAAACAAAACAAAGCACTACCCCCCCCCCCCTAAAAAAAAAGTAACGGGAAAAGAGCTAACGACCATTAAAAGAAACAAACGGCTGTGTGAACCCCTTACTATATATATGAAAAAAAAAAAATATATATCAAGCCAAATCAAGACACGTCATCAAGGTCAAATTTTATATGGAATAAAAATAACGAAATCGTTTCAGTAGCAATTACACAAACAAACTCTCAGTTGGATTTTAATGTATGAACAATAATAACTTGATATACCCGTGGTTCAAGGCGAATTCCAGTGCATTTAATTATAGATGCAAGCGCATTAGTAAACGCCTACATATATTTATTACAATGAAGTAATCAAAGGCTTTAGGACACTCTTTCTCTCGAATGAGCGTTACGCTTTCGTAACATCTGAATCTCAGGGTACCTCATAATTCTAAACCACATCTGCTAGATAACCTCATCTTCTCATAAAAAAAACCCGACCTCACTCACGCCGAACAAACTGTACCTCTTCAGTCGACAATAAAACCGCATTCTAAAATTCATCACAAGATACCGACAAATTGTTTGAAGCCCAGTAAACTCTTTCACTACGCGAGTCGTGGTCAAGAAGGCAATTTTAACAGAAAGGCCGTGATAGTTCTGTATACGCATAAAAAACAAAAAACAAAAAAAAAACACTGAAACGACATTCTCTCAGTTGTTTCGCCTCAGTATCAGTACAAACAGCAGAGAGAAATCCGAATCAGGTGCCAGAAAATTGGTATAAAACAAATTCATTATCTTACTGACGGCGTTTTCCATTCCCAGTTCGTCTTTTTTCTGTGATACCGATGGTTATTTATGAAAGATGAAAAAAATGATTTACTATCGGAGGTTATAAACCCGCTCTATCTATGTCATACAACTTATATATGCTACTATTAATCTATATATCTATTGTTATATTCTACATAACTTACATAAGCCTACATAATTGTCACACATATCTACAAGAAATTTTGGTTGTCTATCTCATAGAGGTCTCAAAGCGAATAAAAAGACAATGCAAACATTTCCATTGGAATTCCGGGTAAAATTAGGTTCAGGAAAAAGAAAATGACTGCATATAGCATGACCAAACAGTATCATGCGTTTCTCATGCACTTAATCATAATTAAACATTATGAGAATTTACTTTAATAAACTTAATAAATAAAGTAGCTGTTAATATTATATAGTGATATCGTGGTACATTACAAGACGAAAGCAAACACAGTGACGCATACTCATGAAACTGATAATAATTAGTAATAACATAAAAAAATACGCATAAATCATACTATTGGAAGTCCTTCGAAAATAAAAGTCAAAAGAATGAATGTGAGGGATATGAAAAAAGGCAAAAGATAATTAGTAATGCCAATAGCATTCCAGCATCAACACATTTCTTATAACCATTACTTCCAACAGCAAAACCTCTCACCATATTTCTTAGAACCAACATAATCATATTTCTTGGAATGGTTACTTCCAACAGCAAAACCTCTCAACATAATTCTTAGAACCATTACTTCTAACAGCAAAACCTCTCAACATATTTCTTAGAACCCCAACTCCCAACATCAAAACCACTCAGAATATTTCTTAAAACCATATCTTTTAGAATAGCAAAACTATTCAGCATATTTCTTAGAACGCTTACTCACAACAGCAAAACCTTTAAACACATTCCTTGGGATGATTGCTTCCAACAACAAAACCTCTCAACATAATTCTTAGAACCATCACTTCCAACAGCAAAACCTCTCAACATATTTCTCAAACCATCCCTTTCAATAGCAAAACCTCACAACATAATTCTTAGAACCATCCCTTTCAACAACAAAACCTCACAACATATTTCTTAGAACCATCCCTTCCAATAGCAAAACCTCTGACAACGAGGCTGATACTCACAATCTACGCTGACTTGGATTCTCTTGCTGACAATGGGAGGGACGCCGTTGCGAGCTATGCAGAGGTAAGCAGCCATGTCCACTCTGCTGATTTTCGTCAGCGGAAGGTTGGCTCCGTTATATTCCGTCACTGTTGGAAAGGGAAAATGTACTTTTAGTGGTAGGAATGTTGCTTGTAGGAACCATGCTGTTGGAATTAGTGTTGTTGATAGGAATTAGTGTTACTATTGGGATGGAAAGTGTATTTTTCACCAGAAAAAGTTGCTAATAGGGACCACTATTGTCAGTTGGAACTAGTGTCTCTGTTAGTCGGAATTAGTGTAGTTAGTAGGAACTAGTGTTTCTATTAGTGGGAATTAGTGTTATTGTTGGGAAGAGAAGTGTATTTTTCATTGGAAGAAATTTACCAGTAGGGGCTTGCGTCAATATGAACTAATTAATCTAATTAATGTTGTCAGTGGGAATTGATTCTACATTTATTAGGAAAGAATATTGCAAATAAGAATCTTATGCGTAGGAAGGAGTATATTAATAGGACTCTTATTGTTAATAAGAATTATTGTTTAATTAATAGGGAGAATATTGTTTAGAGGAATCGCCTCAGGGAAAGGAAAACATACATAAAGAAAAATGAACAGATAAGAAACGCATGCGGAAACGTAGAAAAAAAAGAGAAAACGTACATAAAGAAGTTGGACTTGTACTGAACGACATATAGAACGTACACAAGGTTGTAAGAAACGTTCATGAGATAGTAAAAACTGTACATACGATAATGGGATACGGATGTAGAAAACGTAGGTAAGGACAAAAAAGAAAAAAAAACGCCTACAAGAACCTAAAAATCGTACACAAAGACGTTGGAAAAATACACACAAAAATATATAGGACAACACAAGCAAGAGAGAGAGAGAGAGAGAGAGAAAGAGAGAGAGAGAGAGAGAGAGAGAGAGAGAGAGAGAGAGAGAGAGAGAGAGAGAGCGAAGAGCCGGAGAACCAGAGAGAGAGAGAAAGAGAGAGAGAGAAAAAAAAAATGAAAGAGAGAGAGAGAGAGAGAGAGAGAGAGAGAGAGAGAGAGAGAGAGAGAGAGAGAGAGAGAGAGAGAACGAAGGACACCCAAGACACAGTAAAAAATATAAAAAAAAGACACAAGAAAAGGCTAAGGTCTCCCCAGGTCTTATCATCAAGAGGTCACCCGGGAGAGCGAGGGATGGCAGGGCGTGGCTTACTCGTGGTTAAGGTAAAAGGAACATTAGTTGATAGGGATATCAAGTATAAGGGAACAAATGGGCGTGATGGGCGGGTCGTGGGCGAGGTGGGAAGAGAATATGTAAAAAAAAGAAGATAAATAAATAATTGACTGAGCGAATTGTAGATAAAGAGATACATCAATAGAGAAAATATTGTTAAGTATATTCATAAGTAAATTACGGATAGGCGGCTAAACAATCAATGAATCAGTAAGTGATAAAGTAATAAGATGATAAAAATACAAAATAAATGAACTGGTGTAAAGAGGTAAGTGAATAAACAAACACATTTATGAATAAGCGAATAAGTATGAATAAGTAAACAGATAAAGGAATGAGTAAGTACATACGCGTTATCCATTCATCACTTGCATTATATGTTGCATACATTTATTGGTACCTGCGTCCCTTTACATCTCATGGTATCTTCTCATGGTATTTGTAACAAACATCCTATGGAAATGAATTCCCATTGCAACTTAAGTCTTATGGTATTCACGTTTCTGTGACACATACCGTTCCTCAAAAAATCTCCCTCCTTCCCTCTTCCATCTTTCATTTAAGATTAATATTCTTCTTTCCTTTTAGCCTTTCCTTTCCCCGTTTCTTCATCCCCTTCTCTTCCCTTTTCTTTTCCTCCTTAGGTTCTTTTCCTTCTTCTTCTCTCCAGCCGACCCACCTCCCCCTTCCTCTTTCCTCTTATCCTCTTCTCTCTCCCTTTCTTCACTATTCCCAGTTCTCTATTGCTTTCCCTTTACCATCTTTATTTCACCTTCCCCCCCTCCATTCTCCCCCCCCCCTATTTTAACCCCTTTCTCCTCCCACTTCTCTTTAACCCTTTCTTTATTTCACCTTTTCTCCCCCATCCTTTCTCTCCCCCCCCCCTATTTTAACCCTTTTCTCCTCCCACTCCTCATTTAACCCTTTCTTTATTTCACCCTTTCTCCCTCCTCCATTCTCCCCCCCCCCCCTAATTTAACTTTCTCCTCTTACCTCGCAACGTCTTGTTAATGGTGATTGGCTCATGGTCTTCTCTCCGCCAGGTAATGGAGGGCATCGGAGTCCCCGTGGCACTGCAGGTGAGGTTGATGTTGGCACCTTCTTGCACCATCATGTCTCCGGAGCTCTGGCTGTCGACGATGTTTGGAGGGACTGGAGGCGAGAGAAGAGAGGGGAGGGTTAGTTGTATTTACCTTTGACTGTTCTTATAACTGCATATACAGTGCATTTGAACACATACATACTCACAGAGACACACACACGTATACAAACACTCAAATATATGTGTATATGTATATATATATATATATATATATATATATATATATATATATATATATATATATATATATATATATATATATATATATATATATTGTTTGACACAAACACAGTAACGCGTACACAAAGATGAAAAGGAAAACAACCACAGTAAGAGGTGAATAAAAACCGTGACGTTTCGAGCCCTTCACGAGTTTCTCTTCAGATCCATTTCGGCTTATAATTCGTCTGAAGAGGAACTCGTGAAGCGGTCGAAACGCTACGATTTTTATTAATTTCTTACTCTAGCTGTTTTCTTTTTCATATATATATATATATATATATATATATATATATATATATATATATATATATATATATATATATATATATAGTTCACACGCATATACTCCTACATATGCGTGCGTTCGTTAAAAGAAACGGGATTTATGAAAGGCAGTAAAACATCTGTAGCAGCATTTACAAAGGGCAGATAGAAAGTTACTTTGCTCGGCCAGGAACGGCTTAAATCCACACACACAGAAAGATATTTCAACGGGAAATTTTACGGCTTATTTTTAATCGGCAGAAGCTCCGGGAGACCGAACGAAAGAGCAGGTGAGAGAGAGAGAGAGAGAGCAAGAGAGAGAGAGAGAGAGAGAGAGAGAGAGAGAGGGGGAGGAGGTGGAGGAGGAGGAGGAGGTGGAGGAGGAGGAGGGGGAGGAGGTGGAGGAGGAGGAGGAGGTGGAGGAGGAGGAGGTAGAGGTGGAGGAGGTGGAGGAGGAGGAGGGGAAGGAGGAGGTGAAGAACGAGAATGAAAGAGTCACAGAAACACGTGAAGCGAAAAAAAGGATGTAGAACAAAATGGTAATTAAAAAAGGAGGAACGTAACGAGGAGAGGGAAAATACAAGAACAGGAAAAAAAGTAAGGAAGAGGAGGAGGAGGAGGAGTAGTAAGAAAAGATACGAGAAGAGGACGAAAAGTGAAAAAAAAAGACAAAAGTAAAAAAATAAATAAAACAACAACAACAACAAAACACAACATTTACCCCACACTAACAAACACAACCCCTGCCCTTTCCTACTAAAGCTATTGTGATGCCGAATGTATTTAGTTCATTCACAGTAGATACATCAATAACCTAGGTTTTGCCATCAGTGTTATTATTCCTATTATCCACAGCAGCGCCACAATAGAACTGCATAATCCAAAAGCCATTATCGGTACATCGACTTTCAGAAGAAACGTGGTTAAAATAGTTATAGTATAACTAGTTACAGAGTGAAAAAAAGTGTATGTGTGTGCGTATTGTTAATGGAGTGATGGACAAAATTGTTAAATTGGTAGCTGAAAGTAAAAAAAAATTGATAGGTATGATGATGGGGATGATGATGATGATGATATTGCTGATGATGGTGATGGTGAAAATGACTATGAATATGTTGTTGATAATGCTGATTACTTCTGTTGATTACACTACATTGAGAATCATCATATTTATTCTTTTCATAACGATTACTAGTATACAATGACACACAAAATAACAATAATGAGAATAAGAATACAGCCAAAATATAATAATTTTTTCCATACCAATAATAACATAAATACAGACAGATATACGAATTTATTGAAAAATGACAATCTCATTTCATGCTCCGTGCTGTGTCTCTGAGAGTGAATCAGCTTCGACGTTGAGTCTGATATGCAAAATACTCATTAATTATTCAAAAATATCTTGGAAAAACGTTTTAGAAGTCGAGAGAGTGATCTCCTTACAAAACCTCTTGCGCTGTGACTAAAAGATGCCAGAGGAGGGAAGAGGGGAAAAGGGAGAGGAAAAATAGAGAAGAAGGGGAGAGGAAGAGAGAGAGAGAAGAGGAGAAGAGAGGAGAAAGGGGAAGGGAGAGAGAGAGAAAAGGAGGAGAGAGAAGAAAGGGGAAGGGAGAGAGAGAGAAGAGGGGAGGAGAGGAGGAGGAGAAAGGAAGAGAGAGAGAAGAAAGGGGAAGAGAGAGAGAGAGAGAAGAGGGGAGGAGAGGAGGAGGAGAAAGGAAGAGAGAGAGAAGAAAGGGGAAGGGAGTGAGAGAGAAGAAAAGGGAGAAGAAGAGTTAAGAAGGGGAAGGAAGAGAGAGTGGGGAGGAGGAGGAGATGGGAGAAAGAAGAGAAAGGGTAGAAGGGGAAAGTAAGAGAGATAGAAGAGGGGGGGGGGGAGAATGGAAGAAAGAGACAGAAATGGAGGAAAGTTAAGAAGGGATAAGGAAGAGAGAGAGGACAGGGAGATAAAAGGGGAAAGAAAGAGAGAGAGGGGAGGAGGAGAGAGAAGATTGGAAAAAAAAGAGGTAGAGAAAAAGGGGAGAGAAAGAGAAAAAGAAGAGAGGAAGAGAAAGAAAAAGGAAGAAAGAAACAGGAAGAGGAGAAGAGTTATGATGTGGAAAGGAAGAGAGAGAGAATTGGTGAGAAGAGAGATGAGAGGTGAGAAAAAAGGGGAAGAGAGAGAGAGAGAGAAGAGGGGAGGAGAGGAGGAGGAGAAAGGAAGAGAGAGAGAAGAAAGGGGAAGGGAGTGAGAGAGAAGAAAAGGGAGAAGAAGAGTTAAGTTAAGAAGGGGAAGGAAGAGAGAGTGGGGAGGAGGAGGAGATGGGAGAAAGAAGAGAAAGGGTAGAAGGGGAAAGTAAGAGAGATAGAAGAGGGGGGGGGGAGAATGGAAGAAAGAGACAGAAATGGAGGAAAGTTAAGAAGGGATAAGGAAGAGAGAGAGGACAGGGGAGATAAAAGGGGAAAGAAAGAGAGAGAGGGGAGGAGGAGAGAGAAGATTGGAAAAAAAGAGGTAGAGAAAAAGGGGAGAGAAAGAGAAAAAGAAGAGAGGAAGAGAAAGAAAAAGGAAGAAAGAAACAGGAAGAGGAGAAGAGTTATGATGTGGAAAGGAAGAGAGAGAGAATTGGTGAGAAGAGAGATGAGAGGTGAGAAAAGAAGAGGGAAGGAAGAGAGAGAGAAGAGTAGATGAGATGAGGTGAGGGCAAAGAAAGGGAAAGGAGGAGGGGCAGAGAGGAGGAGAGAAAAGAAGGGGAAAAGCAAAGGGAGAGAAGGAGGCGAAAGGAAGAGAGAGAGAAGAGGAGGGAAGAGGAGAAGGAGAAGGAAAGAAAGAGAGAAGAGAGAGAAGAGGAGGAGAATTAAGAAAATATAATGAAGAGAGAGAGGGGATGAGGAGAGATAAAAAGACGAAATGAGGAAAGAGAGAGGAGAAGAGGAGAGAGAGAGGGGAAGAGGAGAGAGAGAGGGAGGAGGAGGAGAGAGTAGCTGGGGAAAGGAGGAGAGGAAAGTCGGGAAAAGGAAGAGAAAGAGAAGAATAGGAAGAAAAGAGAAAGAGCGAGAAAGAATGAGAAAGATTAAAGAATGGCAGAGAAGATGGAAAGATATAGAAAAAAAGGAGAAATATGAAAAATAAGAGATAGAGGTAGATTTTAGAAGAGGAGACAAAAAGATAGACAGACAGAAGCAATCAAACAGGTAAAGTCGAAAAAAAAATAGGGATAGACAAAGGAACGACAGACAGACAGACAAAATGAGTGTGACAGAGAGACACAGACAGAGAGAATGGCCTAGACAGTTCCAATAAGAAGACTGGCTGCGACTTCCCTCAATCAGGAGAAAGCATTTGTCAGATATCACACACTGGCCCAAACCAATCTCTTTCTCTCACCCTCCTCCCCCCCCTTTCTTCCTCCCCACCTTCCT